TCCTCCGTGCTCGTCGATTGCCGTACAGTGTAGTAGTCCATGTTCGAACAAACAAGTAAATAGGCGCTACGCGGGGGCATTCGTGCCCCTTGCAAAGCGTCATAGCAAGGCACGTGTTGGATGATATGCTTTCTGACAGGTCATCGAAGTTCCCGTGTTCAACTGCAAGACCTGTTACAGGTACGTCCCGATCTCACCTGACGTGGTAATAAGCTGACAGGTAGGACGAAGATGTGACTGGTGGACATATGGGTCGAGAGAAGAGGGCTGCCATGTCGGACTATCAGGAGGAGATCATAAGTGGGACAGCGATATCCGGACGACATTGGCTAAGACCAGCAGCACATGGTGATGGGTATGCAAAACGCGTACCAGGTGTAACTTGACCGGATCAAGTGCAAAAGGTGATGGTTAACAACCGACTGTAATTTGCTCTCAACATATATTACTTTCACTTCCTACATCCTCAGTACAAGTGCGACCACAACACGCAATGATTCACTGCACGTCCGTCCGAGCGTCGTACACCTTTGACGACGTCGTGAACGACACGGAGCTCGTGCACTTTGACGAGAACGTGACGCACGACCAGCACGTGCTGATCCCGTTCCTTCGGCGCGCGCTCGCGCGACAGCCAGCGCTCAAGCTGTTCCTCGCGCCCTGGAGCCCCCCGGCCTGGATGAAGCGCACGACGCTCGACTTCCCAGTGCCCAGCATGCTGGACTCGGCCAAGCCCATTGGCCTGAAAGACGACGCTCGAGCGACGTGGGCGCTGTACTTTTCCAAGTTCATCACGGCGTACAAGAGACACGGCATTGCGTTCTGGGGCCTCACGCCTCAGAACGAGCCACAGGCAGAGGTGCCGTGGGAGTCGTGCATGTACACGGCCGAGTACCAGGCCGAGTTCATTGGGAACTTCCTTGGACCGACGCTGAAGCGGGACCATCCCGGTCTGGTGCTCATGGTCTTTGACCACAATCGCGGCAGTGTCCATCAGTGGGCGACAGAGATATACAACCACCCTACTGCTGCTCAGTACGTGGATGGCATGGCGTTCCACTGGTACGACGAGCAGCGCTACATGGATGGCGTCGAGTACCACGAGCGTCTGAACGACACGCACTTTGTGGATGAAAACCGCTTCATGCTGGCGACAGAGAGCTGCAACTGTCCCGGTGTGGGGCACGGCGACCTCGCGTGGTTCCGTGCGCAGCGGTACGGACACGACATCATGACGGATCTGAACAACTACGTGGCTGGATGGGTCGACTGGAACTTGCTGCTCGATCACGAAGGGGGGCCCAATCACTTGGCCAACATGTGCGATGCTCCTATCATTCTGACCGAGGATGGAACAGACTTCTACATCCAGCCCATGTACTACTTCATCCAGCACTTCTCCAAGTTTATTCCTGTGGGCTCACGCCGCGTTGAAACGCAAGTGGCAGCAAAGTTTGCGCGTCCGGGTGATCCGCAACTGTTCGTGGACTATCCGTCGATGCTGGCAGCTTGCGATGGCAGCTCGCGTCAACGGTTGCGGCCGACGGACGATGGCAAGCTGGAAGTGACTGGCACGGGCTTTTGCATCGATCTGAAGGAGATCCCGTGGCAGGGACATCAAGGACTGCTCGTGGAGTGCAGATACACGCAGCAGCATTGGACGTATGAAATGGACACCGGCCGCATTCGCATGGGCGATTACTGCATCTCACTGAACCACGGGTCCACGGAGAACGGCGTGCGCATCAGCACCGACTTGTGCGAACACGAGGTCGTGCCGCACCAGCAGTGGAGATTTGACGCGGAAGACGGCACCATGCGGTCCTTTGCGTCGACGACGGACCAGTGCGTGACTGCCGGGTATGCGTTTGTGCAGGCCGCTGCCTTTGTGACTCCGGAGAACCGGAAGGTGCTTGTCGTGATGAATGAGAACACGGAGCCGGTCGACTTTGAGCTGCAGGTTGGCGGCAAGGCGCTGGAGACGACGGTGCCTCGCGGAGCCATTCGGACGTTCACGTGGGAGTGAGAGGACAGCGGTCGTAGCACAGACTTGCCACGCTGGTATAAGTTGTAGCGTCGCAGGCACAGCCGCAGACGCAGAAGCTAACAACGTCAAGAACGCGGCAGTCGAGCTGCATGCACGCGCGTCAACAGTAACTTGTGCTGCCCCTTGCGTTGTGCTAACAAGTGCCGTTGTTGTTGCCGTCGTTGCTGTTGTCGTCGTTGCTGTTGCTCCGTCGTTGCTGCTGCTGCCGTCGCAGACACCCACTTTGCTGCCATGTGCACGATCCGATGACAAGTCTCGCAGCAGATCGTTCCACACATCGGACGGACTCGTGTCCTGTCCATCTCCGTCATCGTGCAGCCCCTTGTGATGGTCCCAATCCTCTGACGCAGTTCCGATCCGCATCTCCCGCGGCACGCGACGCTTCTTGCGTCTCAGCTCAAACACTTCGATCGTCTCTTTCCGACCATCGACCTCGAGCGCTCCTGCCGGCACTTCCTGCCACTGGAAGTACGTGTCCAGGTACCGCATGAACTCTGCTCGGACCGCTGGCGCCCGTCGCTCGTTCGCCACAAAGATCACAGTCTTACGGTGCGACAGAGCCAGCAGAGACTGCACGAGCGGCTTGACACACGCCTTCTCGTACACGACATCCGCACACAAGAGGCAGTCGAACGGCGCCTTCAGCCTCGTCACCGGCGTGCCCCTGTAGACCACAGCACCAGTCAGCACCTCGTCTGCCCCTCACGACACAGCCCTTTCAGTGATCAACATGCAGCAGCCAGCGCCTGCACGATCGCTCCTCTCTCCCCCTCTCGCATCGCACCACACGCATTGCTCGACTCGGACGCGCTGTCGCTCCCGATCCGTCAGGTTCGCTCGCACGTTGCGTCGAAGCCACGGGAGCACCGGTCCAACGTCCGTAAGCACGACGTCGGCCAGTCCGTGAGTGACGATCGCACTGGCGATGCCCGCGAGGCCTCCACAGCCAGCGCCGAGTTCACAGATAGACATAAGGCCCTCGAACCGTTCGGGATGACGCTCGATGAACTGGAAGAGCGTCTTGCTGCTGTCCCACACGGTCGCCCCCAGCACAAACGAGTCGGGGTCCTGCTCCACGGCCACAACGCGAGACGCACGACCAATGCGCAGCTCCACATAGCGAGCCCAGTGCGTGAACGGCGCTTCGTGCGCGAGCAGCTCTTGAGCTGCTGCTGCTGCTGCTTCCATGGCGTGTCGTCACTCTTGCGGGTATTGTTCCCTCCCATGAGTGACATCACTGCACGGGCCACCGCTCGATGGATATGGCACTTTCGTGCTATTTGAAGGTCGTTGGACGAAGCAACTGCCAGCGTCGTGTGGCTATGCTGTTCGTGCCAGTCCAGATGTTCCATAAGTAATTGCAAAGCGTATTTAGGCATACGGTAAACACCACCTGTAACCTGTAACTTGTTCTTTCATTGGCCAACTTTGAAAACGCAAACAAATATTACTATCGCCGTTTCCGCAACCGAAATCGCCTTTTTTAACGCTTCCGTCGCACTGCACACAATAAGCACGTATTTGGCACGTTTATAACATCAGCCAATGTACGAACCAGTCAACACGCACTAACATGCCGCGCCCCGGCTAATGGCTACAGCACTTGCAGGCTATCAGGGTTGTTGCAGCGCCCACAAAGTATCCAAATTCAATGTCAAAAAAGCCAAAAAGAACTTACGGAAGAGACTATCACTGCAACCGGCCATCACATTGTTTTACAATAGGTTCGACTGCGAACTAACCTGCATTGAAATTTTCTAGCGAGAATCAAATGCCATGCTCGAAAAAATTGCGACTGCACGTTCAAAGGCCTCGAGCAGATGGCCCCGTCATCCCTTGCATCCGTCTCTCACTACCATCCGCCGCCATGCTCGAAAGTGCTTTTGATACATGGACGTGTATCGCGAGAACCTGACTGGGAAGGCCACCGAATAAGCCCCAACGAAGTATCGGTCGCACCGTATGGTAAACATCTGATACTTACGTTGGTGAACGTTTTAGCTGCTGCCAATTACTGTGGTTTGCAATAGTTTTGGCAAAACGTAATGGGTTTTAATAGATTTGTATAATTGACTGCGTCGTAAACCCAATACAAACACAGGCAAAACAATGCCGTTTAGGGTGACGACAGCCGTTTTTGCACTTGTACATATGAAAAAATGAATCTTTTACCCTAATCCGTCTACTTACAGTATTTATAGGGCTGCATGTAAAAAATCTCGAAAAAAATCGAAAACAAAAGTCCACGCAGGGAGTTTCGGGGCGGTCAAATGTGGCTGTCTGCGAGCCAAAATTAATGAGATTCTCCAATTTGTAGGGTCCTATGGCTTCGCGGAAAAATTGTCAAATTAAAAGATGAGACTACAGAACATAAGCTAGTACCATACTCAAGCCATCTATAGTCTTGAATTTGTGTTTAAAGAGTTACGGGTGTGAGGATTAGCTGAGTGACGGAGATCGGAAAATGATACAGATAATAGAAGGGGCACACTATTTTTCAATTGTACGTTTACTCTCGACACATCTGTTGTATGTAAACAATGGTGAGGTCCCGCTCTTGGCAACATACTGCGGTAGAGCAATCTCTAATATTTGACAGACTGCACAGTTCCTCGACTTTAGGGACGGGGCGATTTTAGCTGGTACCAGCTCAGTCCATAGTAGCACGCCGGACAGTAGGCCGCCTTCAACTCTTACCCCCAAAGAGGGGGCTGGAGGAGATGCTACGAATTCGCCAGCTCAAATAGGCTTCTATGGCAGCGCGACAGCCACGGACAGATTGCACAACGCCGCCGCTCACGCTGATTGCTTGCCTCGAGGGGCATTGGAAACGCTATGGCTGTCATGCAGGCAGTATTTGCGCATCAATTCAAACGCCGGGCCTTTCAGTAGGGTCCAGGTCGAAACAATCACGGGAACGACGGACCAGCGGAGAAAGGGCCGGATGTAGACGCGCTGGGGACGAGACCGAAAGGCACGACCTAGAGGAGTACCAACGAGTAGAATGCACCTCGTGGAAAGAACCCGGAGACAGCCGAGGGGGTCAGTCGGCGGCTAAACTATCACCACGTTCTTCCTAGTCACCCCTTCCCCGTACGACGTGATTCATAATATTGTGGCGGAAATGAAGGGCCACTCAAGGGAAAGGCAAATAGAGACATGACTACTGACTATTCGAGAGCTCTTCGCTTTGGTCTACACTAAGATGCCGATAAATTTGAAGGATCTACCGGTTTCCGAACAACGCTTTCCGCGGATTAAAGGAGTAGAGGCGTCGTGCTTACTACGTTTGTTTAAGCAGATGTTTATATAACGCGCCGGCTCTTATCAAGACTGGCACCGAATCACCATTAACATCAGTAAGGAAATTGTATCGACTAAACAGGCCTTTACAGAGATTTTAAGGCGGCCATCTTTCCAGCGCAAGTGGTCCAAGGCTCCAATTCCAGATCAGTGGGAGCAAGTGGTGCGGAACGGCACGACGGCACCTTCCGCAGTGGGAGTTAATGCTCCCGACATTCAGTACGAGGACTTCATGTTTGACCCCACAAAATTCCCGAAGGACGAAGCGGCGGAGTTATAGTACGTATGTGATCGACGCACGTCCGGGGGTCCTCACTCAGTCTTGCGGGAAGGAACAGATGCCGGGTGGAGGGTTGTGGTGGAGTGGCGATCGCTCTTTTGAGAAGTCCATCCCAACTTTCTTCTGGCGCCCGGACGACTAACTAATGGAGGAGGTACTCCGATTCCGTGCTGTAATGTTTGCTCACCTTGTGTACCCGTCGGTGGGGCGGGTTGCACTCTTCCAGGTGGACTCCAGTCAATGCCGAACTTGAACGTGGTTGGGATTGGGGCTGTTGCGAGGAAACCTTCACACGATAGCGGGTGTACTTGTAAGGTGCTCCATATGAGTTACCTTGATCTCTATGAGATCGCCTTGTCCAAATTCGATACTATTGGATACTTGATTCGTTAGCCTTCTGACTTCTTGAGCCGTCTCGCGATCTTTCACCCTTCGCCTTTACTTATTTGCTGCGTCCAATCGCAGTCTGGGTTCTTGGTTGAGAGTCCTCGATCACTGGCCAAACAATTCAGGGATACCACTTGATTTAATTATGCAATTTCTCTTGACGTCGGTTGGCCAGTAATCCAACCCGGAAGAAAAATCAACATGTGTACTTAGAAGCCAAGTGAACTCTGTTTAATGTTAACTAACCAGACCGAAAACTAACACCTCGATAGGCCTATCTATATCACGACTTTCGAGGCCACGCATCTCCCTCTCCAGAAGACCGCCCCTTTGTACCTATGTGGATTACACCAAGTGCGCTCTCTCTGGAACATTGGCGTGTACCACACCCGACTTGTACGCAGCTGACTCCAAGATCACGATCACGGATCGGAATCGCGGATTTGGACCGGGATCGCGGGCTCGGACCGGGATCGCGGATTTGGACCGGGATCGCGGGTTCGGACCGGGATCGCGGATTTGGATCGGGATCGCAGATCGGGATCGGGATCGCGGATTCGGATCGGGATCGTGACCTTCAGTGATTCCGCAAACTCCGGTGAGATTCGTCTTTAGGTTACATAGACATCTCAGAGTCACTACATATCACACCCTCGCCATCAACGATATCGCGATCTGGTACGTTTGAGTACACGATCGTGATCTACCCGTCCCAGCTCGTATCCTCCAATCAGAGTCCTTTCCGGACTTAACTGAAGCCGGAAATCTGTGTGCCCCCAAGCCCAACTCAACGGTAAAATCTTGTAATCGCGTTACCACAGGGTCATGATCCGAATAGCTGAAGGTCACATAGCCTGTCGTCACATGTCTTATTTCTTATGGGAGGTTTTGACGGCTCGGATCAATAATGTCTTTACGTTACGGTACATGCTCAAGTGTAAGGGCACTTGGTGCCCAAACTTGGCCATGATCGTGGCATCTTGATCAGCCGGCGGACAGTCCGATCTAT